GCTGTCGTCAATGTCAGTTATTTATTTAGGTTTTTTTAAATTAATTTGATAGTGGTCAAATTGGACTTGTGTTCTTGTGTTTAAACGAACTACCAGCATGGAGCATCAACCCTTATCTGTGTAGGAACGGCTAATAAAATATAAATATAAAATATGTGTAAAGTAAACTGGTGAAAAAATCATACATAATTGGGGAATGTTTTTTTTTCTTTTGGGGTTCTTGTTTTTTTACACAAATTCTTTAACAATGAGTTTATAATGGAGGTGAAAAACTAAATAAAAGGAAGACAAAAACTATCACCAGAAGGTGTATAAAGTTCATCTGAATTAAACTCTTACAGGAGGGTTTTTTAAGATAGGCTTAAGATTGGATTCTAAGATAGAATAGAATCCAATTCTCCCTCAATAGATGCGGGTAATTATTATCTTGTGTTGAGCTTAGTGTTAGTCATTCATGAACACATTAATGTTTATTGGTGAAGTGTAAAATTGATTTATGTTAAAACCATTAAAATGAACAAAGCCATGATTCAAAAATACAGTTTTAACGAAACTCAAACAAAGCTATGATATTTGAAAGGCATGATGTTTCTAAGTTGAATATAACATTATGTCAAGGGAGTGTGGTGAACACATAAAGTAGCATGTGTGCACACAAAGCTTATGCTGCCAAGGGACTACCTCATAACCACACACCCATTTGACATCATTTCCTACATAATGGAGAAGTAAATATGACAACGACCATCAAACTGGCCACATTCTGCGCTACACCCGTCTGTACAAACACTATGTGAAGGACGCAATCAGTCCTCGCCTAAACACTTTGAAACCTTTACTTCTTTAATTTGCTGGCACTCAGATCGTAATTACTCTGATTTCCACAGATTCCCACAAGTGTTTTGCTCCATTCATTGGTGGAAATGGGGCCAGAGCAACTTTACCATCCATCAGTCATGAAAAGAACCTGCGGGGGTCTTCAGGCCACACACTCGACCTCAAGTAATGATATAGCCCAAGGCTGTAGACACAGGGAGGCTATAACAGAGGCTGTTACTGGGACCGTATCCTCTATGTATCACTTTAATGTTTTTCATAACCATCACATACAAGCTAGAGCCATTCATCCACACCACAGAGGGTTTATTGTAGAGGTGTCTGCTTCATAGACACATATGAGTCAGGCATTTTGGAATATATTAACACACTGCAATGTTCTGTGTATACTCAGTGTTTTCTTGGTTTAAAAAAAAAAAACATGCATTTTACTCTTTGGTATGCATCTCAGAGAAACAGAGTAATTGTGTCTGACACAGTCCTGACACTACCGTTTTCCATTATCACTCTGTTGTGCTTCTTTCCTGGTAAGTGTGTGCCTTTAGGCTATCCTACAAGACATGAAAATCACAGTTGTGCTGTAGTGTATAACACTGTGGACTGATTTCAGAAAGATTTCAACAGCTACTTTTTTTGTACTTAAGAGGAATTACAAATGATGGTGATTTTTTCAGACACTGGGTGTATTTATCTTTCTTTCACTGATTTTAAGAACACACCAAGCTGGCATGTATCTTGGAAGGTTTGTGAGATGTGGGCAGAACGTTGTTGTAAATGTCAGCCTTTCTCAGTGATAAGTCACAGATTGCATATTGGATCAGTTTGACCAAAAATGGAAAAAAAAAAAAAAAAAAAAAAAGAAAGAAGAAGAAAAGACTGGTGACAGTATGTGAAGATTATAAAAATGTTCTGATCCTAAAATACCTCAAGGAAATAAGTCTGTGTCTTGCACACTAAGAACCCCTCAGTGATGCTTACTGTGGAATATTTTAATTTTTAAATAGATACTGAGATACTGATCCGACCTGTGGCTCCTTTTCTGCATGTCTGATTTCTGACTCTATCCACAGTCAAATTAAGGCCACCAAAATAAAACTTAAAAATAGATTTGTTGGGTATTTCATGGAAAGGAAATCGGAGGATTTCCTTTATGGATAAAAATAAAAGGAGTTTTATCCACCAATGTGTAATAAACCCGCAAGGTAGAGCTTGCCTTAAATAGTAGAAAAACATTCTCTGGATGTAAGAACATCACTTAAAAGTCTGTCTGACCATTAGATATCAATGGACCCCCAGTGAGGCGAGAGGGGCCTGCCCACCGGGCCTGGCTCCAGCACCGGCAGCAGATCGAGGCCCCTTCCATCTGTTGCCCTTGTCCTGGGAGTGTGTGTGTGTGTGTGTGTGTATATATGCTGGCCTACTCAGATCCCATCTCTATCATCTGCTGAACTCCAATGCCTCTCTTTTTTTTCCTCTTTATTAGGCCTGAAAAGAAACACCAGATGGCTTGTGGGAGAAAAAAAAGAAATCATACTCCTCCAAAAGGGAAAGAGGCACCACCCACAGCCATGGTGGAGCTCTGAAAGATTTAAGACATGCATGGCATACTTCAAACACACAGCACACACAAATACATGAGGACCTCATTGGTTCTCGCTTGAATTGTACCAACAGCAGTATATCCTCAGAAAAGAGTGACGGGAGAAAGGTAAATCAGTCAATCAAGTCTTTAGATGGATTCTTGATATATTGACCCAACACACATGACCTTGACTCGGAGGCTGAGGTATGTCAGGACAGGCTCTGTGTGTAATCATGCTCTGTTTGCAAACTGAATAGTCAAGTCAGGTTTATTTATAGTCCTTTACACAAGCATATTTCAAAGGATTCATATATCAAACCCTCTGCAGCTCACACTGATGGCTCATTTGGAACCTGCGGTTCACCTTACCTGTAGAAGAAGAGTATGCAAATGCCAAACAGAATGGAGCCAAGTTGACATTGGATTCCCTGACCCTTTTTTGAAACAGTGGTAAAGGAATAGTGAGACATTTTTTTTTTAAATGATTCACTTTGTGACAAAGAGCTGGGTGATATGATCTCATATTTATTGCTACTGTGACAACACAGCTTCAGCCAGCTACTGCTTGGCCAAGCTTAATGCAAGGAAGAGAAACAGGGAGAAATAGTTATCTTGGCTGACTACATGATGCACACACATTACACATTCCAATCTGCACATTTCACGTTGACACCCTGGACACTTTACACTGTTTACATTATTCTATAGTTTGTATATTCAAATATTTCTTTTTTTAATTTTACATTATATTTCTATATTACTGTATTTATGTGTATTAGTAATTTGAGTGTTTATTGCATGGCCTTGCGGAACAGTCTTTACATTTCACTGCACATCTGTATTAGCATGTGACAAATAAAAATCTTGAATCTTGAATCTTGAATCTAGCCCTGTCTGAAGGCTAAAATATCTATCAGCAACTATTAAACTCTCTGGCTGATTTTATGGTTGGTTGGTCCCTGCAGGCGTTTCATCCTTACAATGCTTCATAAATCAATAAAACAAGGTTTACTGAGGGAATCTGAATACACTGACAGTTTGATGTGCTGAAACTTAATATAAAGGAGGCAATGGGCTGAATTCTTTGCTGTATAAATCTAAACTAAATCCTCTAAAGCAATTTATATTACAGTTCATAATAACAACAATGGTGAGTCGTCCTCCACCGTGCACTGATTTTGGCTTCAAAGTGCATAAGCAGCAGAAAAAACACACATGCAGCAGCAGTCTCCTTTTTTAGATGCAACACCTTTTTTTTCCTCCACATGATGATGCCATTCTGAAACACTCATCCTTTCCAGTAAATCGTTCCGTCAAACATCCCTGTCACACTCTCATGTTTTTTTGATTCAGCAACTTAAAGTCATGAGAGTACAAGCCGACCGATGGACTCTGAGCTCAAAATATCGAATGGCACTTTGCAGTGAAATGTAGCATGCAGTTGTTAGATCATCTGATGGCTCTTCCTCAGGTTATCCAGGCTTACAGTCACACACACACCACCATGTTAGCAGCTGCACTCTAACAGTAACTCAGAGATTTCAATTCCATCTTGGCTGCTGCATGCTTTTTTTTTCAATCATATTGTAAGTGCAAAAAGGAAAAGATTGTCTGGGGTGTTTGATATGTTGGACATAATTAAAACACAAATGTGTCAGTGTGAGTGTGTTCATGTCCATGCATGTGGCACACTTTGGGGAATGATGTATTTTCTCTGCTTGTACTCCTGGTCTTATTATTTATGCTTGTTCTGTGGGTCCTTCTCCTCTCCACTCTCTGCCCTACAGCTCAGCTCCTCACACAGAGCCATTTCTTGGTCTCCAGCCTCGGAGGAGGTGAGCTGGCCGAGGTGATGCTTTTTTTGATCCTCACACCAGACGCTGTCTCACCTCGGCAGCAGACAGGCTTTTTATTCAGTGACGCCTGAAATTAGATGTTGGACTTTTTTGGAAGGAGATGTGGTGCTGGAATGGGCATTGGGGGTATAGTCCCTGCCAATCACTGGAGCTATGTATGTTAGCGTCTACAGATACTTATCCTCTATATACATGGACTCTTCTCTCATCCAGAAAATCACAACTTTTGTGCAAAATTTTGTTCATTCCACCCAATTTCTGCAATATGTTTCTGCATGTTTGATATTTCTTCAGCCAGTCATGCATAGAGGGAATGCTTTATCCGTGACACAATTGCAGCTCTTCCAGAATTAATTCACTGCTGCCAAAACCAACATATGCTCTTGTCATACAGTGATTCTGTGTACGACCAAGCTGTTGTCTTTAAATGTATTTATCAGGGATGAAGGATCTGTACAGTAAGGCCATGTGTGCATCTTCAATCCACACAAAAAAACACCGTCATGGAGCATGTTACTTCTGCCTAACTGTCTGTGCAGTTATCTTTCTCTCTTTCTGTCTTTGACTACATCTCCTCATCCACCACCCTAGCTCTAAGCAACCCCCCCCTTCCATCCCTCTCTCTCCCCCTCTCTCTCCCCTCAGTGCTGCAGCCCACCCTGCTCGAGCTTTAATGGTACATGCCATTAGAAAGCCCATCTCTGAAGGGGAGGAGGGGAGGGTGGTCTCAATCTCAAGCTAAGAGGCTACTTTAGTCTCCGACATAAGCACATTCACAGATGTCGCTGCACGTGTAGAGGCGTCTCACCCGTCACGACGGAGCTCCGTTATTCCCACGGAATAAGAGAAGCAGATAGGTGCAAATAAAGGATAAGGAGGGGGGGAAGCGGAGCTGGAGAAAGATAAGGTGTGAAGACAGGAACCGCGGAGGAAAAAACACACATCGATGCCACACTGACGTCTCCCCCTCACGCGCCTGTTTTGGTGTGAGCGCGAGAAGAGGAGAGAGGAAAAGGGAGGAAAATAAATCCTGGGAGCCTGATTCCTTCATATGCTTTGCATCCCGGTTTTTTTTTTTTCGTTTACTCCCATCATCCAAGGTATGAAGGCCGGTGTCCACTGGCAAGGCAAAATAAAAGAAGAGGATGCTTTGACTGCTGCCTCTCTGTTAACAAGGGTCACGGAAGAAGAAGAAGAAGAAGTAGTCAGGGACAACACACAGCGGGGACAAAACTAGGATTTCTGCCGCATGCGCTGGGAATAGGAGTCTCACACCGAAGTCTCTGAATGAGGTAAAAATAATGATACCACTTTATCCTCCCCTTTTCTTCTAAACAATTGACGCAGACGAGGTTAGATATACTTCTTTGAGGCACTTGAAAGCACGCAGATAGGCTTGACAGGAATGAGCCAATTTCCATGCTGATCAGGTTTGGAACAGCAGTGGGGAGATTGCCATCTTTGTCCCTGGGTCGCTGTGAACAGCAGCACAGTGGAATTGAGGGGGGGGATCTATGCATGTTGCACGCTGCAGAGAGAGAGGCAGTCACGGCTGAGACTAGAAAGAAGAGTCAGTGATGAAAAGAATTACTGATAATCCTCATGATGAGCATTTGGGTGATGAGCTAGCAGAGGGGCACGGAGGAGATTTTCTCTCCACTGGCCAGCAAAGCTGCAGCTCAAGGTTCATTTACAATTACAATTCAGTGGGTTTATCTAAGAGTGATGATTAAATTCACTTTTTTTAGAGGAGCTTATGTGGTGCACATGAGCAAAAAAAAATCCTGCAAAAGAAATACAAAAAAATGAAGAGTCAAAAAGGGGCGGCTGGTGGAGCAAAATGCAGTGCTTGTTTCAAAAAGTCTGACAGAACACTTTCAGTGGTGACCCCAGGGAGCCTTACACTAGCTTCCAGACAGAAAATAACAACTTGTCCAAATAAGCTTACAAAAAAGGGGCATAGCCTGGAGAAAAGGAAAGCTTGAAGTTGAAGTTAAGTGGGCTATAAGTTCTCATTTCTGACACCTTGCTTAAACCCCTGGCTCCAGGTGAAAAGATGCAGTGGTAGTGCAGGTTCTCTTGACACACAGCACAGGTGCAGAAGCAGATTTAATCACTCGCTCTGGAAAGAATAAACAACAGTGCTTTATCTCAACCCATGTTCCATTTCTGTCTATCGATGACACATCGTTGGCATGTTTTTTGTACTGTTATGATCATTTATTGTGTACAAGGTATAACTATAATGACACTGAAATAATCCTCCTCCAGTCTTCATGTGAAACTTGCATTGGTAATATGAACACTGCAGTTTCAGTGCCTCCCAGTTTAGTCACTGTGGAACATCTTGTGCAGTTTGGTTAGATTAGTTCTGGGCTTCAGTCTTAAGTCCTTACTCATGTGTCAGGGCACATCAACCTGACTCTCCCTGGAAGTTCTTACTGGTGCAGTCACAGCACACTGACACCCATCATGACATCAGGCGTAGTGGGCAAATATGCTGTCACTTTATATTTTTAATTCAAGACACTGTGTCCAAGATTTAGTGCTTACAAAAAGACAAAAAATAACAGATTGTAACTTTGGCTAATATCGTTAGCATCATATTAATATTTATAATAAATATCTAGATTAAGTTGGTTAATAGGTATTTGGGGTTTCCACAGAGCAGAATTGCAATGTGAGTATATATTATATAGGCTATATATAAACCTCTTAATACTTCACACCTGTGTTTATTTTAATACTCAGTTAAAAATGCAATAAACACATACAGACATATGTTTCTTACATGTCGACAGCAAAAACCTGGTGCCTGCTACTCAGCGCGTACACTTCACTTACATGAAATGAAGCCACGTGTGTTCACAGCTGTTTTACACACGGGTGTTAGCATGCTTCTTAACCGCTGCCCTCTCCGACCAAGTTTATATTTAGTTGTGGCTCACTTTAGCACCATCAGCAAATAGCAGCCAGAACTCATTTATGGACACTTGTCATTTCATTCTGTGTTCAAGGTTGCCCCCATTGCCTTGGCCATACAATACACAAAGTGCTGATGGGCCAGAAATACACACACTGACGGAGCTGAGACTCTGCCACTCATGAGTGTCTTCAGTATAACTACCAGTTTACACATTTACACTATAACATTTCTATTTAAATACTTTTTAAATTAGCTGTAATCCATTCATTTTTTGATGGCGATAACTGATAATTTTCCTGATCTTTCACTGCCATAATTCATAATTACCAAGTTTTAAATCCACAGTTGATAAGTTTATCATTTTTTCTATTATAACTTATTAGTTTTTATTGCGCTATTAAACTATTCTAATGTTTTATTAATTACAAAAAGCCCTTTTCATTGAAGAGTATAACAATATATTGTAGGAAGAGAACTGATGGGTTTTTGTAAAGAAGTGGAAGAAGGCACAAGTCTTTAATGTTCCTTTACAGTTACCATAAGAATGTGACAAAATGTATATTTGGAATTTATTAAGCAATGAACCTCACCAAACATTGCAGTTTTCAAGACAAAAAATATGTTTAAAATGCTTTATAACAACGATCCTTAGCATTTCCAAACACCATAGGTGGCAGTGATCTTTTCCCAGCTGTAATGTGGTACAGAATATGACCTTTAGGGAACCTTACAAGAAATGACATCAAGATATACATACCCATGCATATGGAACACGTGTATACATTATCTTGTAGGAACGCAGGTGTTGCATGTCCTCATGTGGAGTAAGCATGTTCATCACCGATCCCTTAGTGGCATTTCACACATCATTGCACAGTGTAATAATGAGCATGAAGCCCGACAAGACAGAGGGATCAGACTTTGCACAAATGAGAAGAAAGCTATGTAAAAAGACTGTAGAGGTTTTCAAACTGTGTGCAGCATGTGGGTGCATGTAAAGTATGCCTATCTACATTGAAAGCTCACAGATATAGGTTTTTGAACCGCACATCACTGGGCAATGTTTCATTTATTTTTGATGTCTGCTTAGTGCACGCTGTAGGTTTCTCTTTGAAGGTAAAGGAGCTTCTCTGCAGATTCAGTCATGGAGCTGTCTCAGCCTTAGGCAACAGAGGGGTGAAGCAGCACTCATGAGAATAAAGCTGTCATTTATACAATAGATACTTTATAGGTGAACGACCGACAGAATGAAGTATATCCAGTACAATATTTGCTAATACATATTTAAAATAATCATACACATACACACATGCTCACAGCTAAATACTCTGGTACATCCTGCTACGGAAATATTTCATTATGACACTCAAACTAATGAACCCCTCTGTGCTTTCATTATAATCATTGTGTGAAAAGAAAGCTGAACATGGATGGGGGTTTCAACAGCATCCTAGCAAGAAAAAAATAGTATAGCGATGTCGGGGGCCACATATTCCCTGACACATCTTCATAATAATACTGATTCCTAACACTGTCTCTAGGAGTAATGTGCAGTAGTCTGATGCTTCTGAGGCTCCTTCAGTCTGAATTCCATGACAACTGATCATTTCATGATGGAAGTCCCTGTTTCCACCAAGCGGTCCGGTTCAGTTCGGTACCCATTTATTGGTGTTTCCACCGTCAAAAGTTGGGAATGGTACCAAAATATGGGATCCGTACCGTCCTACTTTTTTGGTACCCTTCTGTTGGGGTGCCAAGGGTACCGACCCGACCCTAAAGGGTCCCTTTTGTTGACTGTGTCCTGTTCGTCTTTGTTGAACTTAATTAATAGCGGGCTACACTGTACTGAACCAAACCCGACCACTTGGTGGAAACGTGGCTATATATACAGTAAAACACACATTACCTCAAAAGATAAGAGCATAATGTTATTTTTATCAACAAACAGTGATCTGGGGTGGCTGTGACTCAGTATAGAATCAGTCGTTTCTCAGCAGGAAGGTTGGGGGTTCAATCCCCAGCTCCTACAGCCACATAACGATGTGTTCTTGAGCAAGACACTTGCTTGCACCCCAAATTGCTCCCGCTGCTCATCAGCAGAGTATTCATATGATTGGGATTAAGGTAATACTGATGGACACTAGCAGCCTGCCATTAGTGTGTGAACGGGTAGGTGTGACCTGCGGTGTAAAAGCGTTTTGTCTGAGTGCTATACAAGCTCAAGTCCATTCACCATTTACCATTTGGCATGCCCAAGTGTTGATTGTCTGACTCATGCCTAAAGAATCAAGATATAAAAAGTTAAGCTCAACAATGCATCGAAAGGGAAAATAAAGCTCTGTGTATCTGTTTCTGAGAAAAGCTGGAGTTGTAATATGACTACATTTGCAGAAACATTTTTTTTTTCCACTTCGAAAAGTTGTTGGATTTCCTGAAGCACATTATGTAGATCATTGCACTTTGCAATTCTCTTGTCACAAGTAAAACTCAGAGAACACATCCGGTTTTAAGTAACTAGAAACTTAAAAAATAAAATAATTAAAAGACAGCTTTGATTTAAGTATAATATATAATATTTTGTAAATAATTATGAAAATGAAAAACTTTTATCCTTTTTAACATGTTATTAGATATTGTTCTGATGGTAAAAGTACTTTAAGGTCAGCAAAATGATATCAAAGATTGGGAGTTAAACACTGAAGTTTAGAGGTAAGAGGTTTTAAATTGTGAAGTCTAAATGTTGTGAGAATAGGTGGTGGAATAGTTTGACATTTGGCTCACAGAGGTCTCTAAGGAAAGACTTAAAGCATATTGGGCACATGCCCTTTTTTAATGAACATCTAAGAAGCGAAGTTGCAGCAAGATGAAAACCCAGAACAATCTGTTGGGTGTAGCAGAAGTGCTTTTGTACCTCTGTGGATTATACTCTGTGGGATACTTAAAATCTGTCTGCCTGCCCATTAAGACAGCCACTATCCCGGCTCATTAATGTCCTACAGAGGAATTAGAATAAACTGTGCTCTACAGACCCTTGCTGGCAGAGGCTTTCTTTCTTCTCCCCAGCAGCTTGTCTCCCTCCAGGGACAGCAGTTGTTTCCTGAGGTGCATCAGAGCAACTTGGAAGTGACCAGCAACACAAAATAATTAGATGTTCAATTACTCCAAACTGTGCTAGCTGTTGAATTCCCTCTGACTTATTTCAGCAATTCTGGCAAAGGTCTATATATATATTATAGTTGCTCAGGACATCAACCTTCAGCTAAATGGGCTATGGGGTTTAAAAACCAGAGGATTATAGGTGGAGGATGGGAAGCTGTCCTTAAAGGCAGGGTTGGTCATTTCCTCCAGATCCACTTTTTAAGATTT